CAGATGAGGAAATTGCCAGTATTTTACCTCATTAGTAAATCATTTTGTGATCCCTCACTTCTGTCTCTGGCCACCAGAGAAGACAGCAGCAGTGGTGGGGCTGGAGGGGAGCAAAGCCTTGCTGTGGGGCTGGGCTGGAGCTATTGCTTTCCAGAAAACAGACCTGACTCGTTCAAGACCTATCTCACCTTTGAGAAATACTCAAGGAAGGGATGGAAAGTTGAGCTTAATTTCCCACCTTGTACCAAACTGCACCTCACCCTACACTGATGTGTAAAATGATGGCTGTGAGCTTCTGTTTGAAGGCATCACTGTATTCTGTACATTTTACATTATATTTTAAGTAATAATAGTATGTAAAAGTAACCAATACATTATTTGAATTACAAGTAACTTAAAGCAAAGTTGCTTCTAAGCAAATACACAATTTCATCCCAGGTGCTGATGCAAGTAAAAGACTACATCTTGCACATGTAGAAGGGCAATAGAACTGAATCTAACACTCTCTTGTTAAATGTAGGACAAGTAATATCTTTTCACTGAAAAAGATTTGTTTACTTGAGGCTACAGTAATGATCATTAAAAGAAAAACATAAATAGGCTCACATTCTTGGTCCTTTTATCAGTTCCATTGTATTGTGGAGGGATATTTTCAAGCTATTTGCTGCAGACTAGAATATTTAGATGTTTCATAAGGAGCTTCAGCAGTCACTCATTGCATCAGCCTTGCTTTTAGGCACTCTTATCCTGTGAATATGGATGCTGGCCATCCCTGACCCAAGCTGGCACAATCATTTTTCCTTGTATTAACTCAGGAGTTACAGCTGCTGTGATATTAAAGTCTGGTCTAAATGTATAAGGATCCTCTAATTTTCTTTCCCAATTCTATAGCTTCTCTGATTGCTAGTTTGTTTGGTTTGATTTTGGTTTTAATGCTGATCTCCTCCTGCTCTTCAAACACTAAGCTGAGTTATGTGAAAAAGCACAGAAGTAAAGGCAGAGGTGCTTTATGTAGTCCTAAACATCTGCACACACAACAAACCAAGTTAAGCAGAATGAGGACTAAAACTGATGTTTAAACTCCCTCATCCGTCTCCTATCCAAAATTAATATTATCTCTCCAGGGAAAGCTTAGACACATCTTCTCTGCTATTAGGGCATACTGGTCAGAATAACAGTGATTTCAGAAGTAGCTGTTTTGGTTCCTTGGTGTAATTTGAAAATTAGAGGAGAAGGGGGGGAAATGAAGAAGCCAGCATCTCCCTTCTTAACTGATTCATTTTTTTTTTTCTGAAGCACTAAAGAGATGAGAGGAAAACATTAAAAACTTAGAAAATTGATAGATTTAACTTTGTCTCTGAAGGATCCAGGCAGTAAAGGAAAAAGGTGTAAAATGTGTTTGTTGAGCTACCCTGACTTATGATATTTAGATGTGTGTAATTGCTCTATTGACGTCAGCTGGCAGGGTGGGGTGGTGTTCTAACAGAGCATTTATTTTTTCCTCATTAGCAAGGAAGAGCTATCAAGCTTTTTTTGATATTATGTCTAATTGAAGCCACAGCTTCTGCACCGTGTTTTCATTTCCAACTACTTGAAAGGATCAAGGACAAACTAAAGAGCCTCCTGTGACCTGCAGAACATTAAAGCTTATAACCTCTGGGACTGATCTGAGAACTGGATAGTGTTTGGTGGGGATTTTTTCCTCTCCAAATATCTTAATGCTTTACAGAAAAGTGTTTCAGGATCTAAGCTGATGAGCCCTGTCTCCTTTCTTTCTTATTTTTTTTATTTGTGGTTCATTTTTTTCCTGATCAAAGCATCTCAGTAGAATTTCTTTGATGTTTCTCTAGCTCTAGCTGTATCATAAGCAGTTTGACACAGTAAAAAGGAAAAAAGCATTTGTGAAAAAAATAATTTTCCAAACAAGACAATTTTTCACTCAACCAAATAAGAAGCTCACAGAAGCAAAGGTTTATACAATTGATGTTGTTTTGATTCTATGCTCAGCCTTCAAGAAATGGAGCACTTAGCCAAGATAATTTTTTATATTCCTGCTGGCTTTTCTTCTGGAGGTTCTTGTGTGGCACCTCTCAGGCCCTCCCCTTGTACTGACCACAGAAAGCCTCCTTTTTCCACCCCAATCGGGACCAAAACAAGCGTGAAGCCTTTTGTGTGGGAGAGGAAAATCAGGCCAAGTGTGTTTATATTGCAAGTTGTTAATAACAACAGCTCTTGGCTTTTGTGAAACACACGTCAGGCAAGGAATGTAAAGTGCTTTTAAAACAGGCATTAATTAAGGTTGACAACTTCCACCTTCCCTTGCCATGAAGTTAGTAATGAGCCAGGAATGCTGACTGTCTTTAAATCTCTCTCCCCAAATGGTGACCTGCCCCTTGCCTGGCATGGAGGCTGTGCCAGGGCAAAGTGAGGGAGGAGATGGAACATTTCCCTGTTGCTCTGATGGAGAAAACACATGCCCTGCTCTCCTTCCCCCCACTGCCTGGAGGGGCTTCTGGCATCCCAAAAGCCTTGCACAACCTGAGTCCCAAAATGGCTTTGGGGGAAAACCTTCTGAAGTGTGTTCTGAACTGTTGGTAGAAATGTTTGCTGGTTTGCCCTTGCTCAGTTACCCATGGTGGGAAACAACAGGTTGCTCACAAAGTAATGGGAATGGTGAGGCAAACTGTTTGGTTGAGCAGCTGCTCTTCCCTAATCTATTTCACCATCCTGCCATTTCATTTAGTGATAAAAATCTTTGAGCCAAGTTGGAATCACAAAGAAACCCAACCAAAGACTGCCACAAACAACAATCAAACACCTCCCCCTTCCCAAACCCCCAAATCACACACCCCCTCAAAAAAGTCACAGCACCCCCCACCCTTTTGGACTAGCAGTGCTAGAAATTAAAAGTACTAATATAGGGGAGCCAAAAGGCATTCACACTATTTATTGTACTGCCTTTCTGTAACTGCAGATGGAATTTTGTTTGTGTACACCTAGAGAAATAAGAGTCATTACTCTGCAAGTTATTTGTCAATGCTCTTTGAATATGATGCTCTAGCCATTATATATAAAATTATGACAAAGTTTGCTGTAGACATCAGCAGCCTTTGAATTGGGCTGAGATTTCACAAACTGACCTCAGAAATTGTCTTCCTATCCAAAATCCATGTGCTTTTGTGTGGACCTGAGCTTTTCCTTAAGCTGCTTGGACTAGTTGAACCAGATAACAAATCCAGCAGAAAACTGTGCTGCATTTGCATTTGCTGATTCTTTTTCTGCTGAAACTTTGACCTGAAGTTACTTCAGCAGGATCTAGAGAAACTATATTTTGATACATAAATAATAAAGAGAGGTTATGCCCATTTGTTTACGAACAAGAGGGTCCCTTGATGTGTGGTGGCACTCACAAAAGTGTTTTTAATTTTGTATGCTGCCAATTTTCCCACATTTTCACATTGTTTCTGTTATTATTTCTTCTCTTTACTCAACAGTTGTTCCTTCATAAAAATCAGCTTGTTGAAAAATATGTAATTTAAAACCTGTTTTGAAAGCCTGCTCAGTGAAACATCAGCACATGGGGGTGTTAAGTGTCTCTCAACCAGATAATCTTTTGAAAGGCCATTTGTCACAGGGGTTCAGTTTTAAACACAAAAGAAAAAGTTACCTTGTAATGAGTAGCTAAAAATATGTACCCACACAGAAATACAAATCCCTGGATTTATTGTATTAAATCCCTCAGTAGAAAGTCTCATTGAATTGAGAAAATCTGTGAAGTGTGGTAAGGGAATGCAAAATATATTAAATTAGGTTCCAACTTAATCAAGAGGCTCTTTACTAAATAGTCTTGTAAATATTTTAGCTAGAGCAGTCAGTCACTGCAGAAAAGGTTTTGTTTTTTTTCTGTGCCATGAACATGAAAAATAGTATGCTACAATTCCTGGCTCCAAGTCCAAAATCTGATTCTATATCTCTACTAACTTCATCTAACTCAGAGGGAGTCTGATTTAAAAATTTCAAAATTATAATTGATAGACTAAATGCCTCTACCATTTTATGATAAAGATCTTAAATATCATTTTAGCATCTTTTGTTCTAAAACATCTTTGAAAGTATCTTTTAACAACCTAATGTAAAGTGAGTACTATATAAACTTCCAGATTAATTCAAAACTTCTAATATGGCAATTATTTTAACTTACTTATGAATAATATACAAGGGTGTATAATCGTTAATCTTCCAAGCAGCTAAGGGTCCAAACCATGGCTTATATATTAATGGCTTCCTTGGGAAAAGAAAATATAGTGTTCAGTGGCAGGAACATGAGATCACTGCTTTATGAAACAAAAAGGACAAGGAATTAATAAGAACTATATTTGGCAAAACTAGACTGATGTCAAAACATTAGGCATGTATATTTAGCATTGCTGGGCATGTCCTGGTCTTCTCTTTAATTGTGTTCATGTTGCAATCTTTTGCATATATGTAATTTTATAGGAAGCGGACTCAAGATCCATTTTGTCCTTCATCCTACCCTTATGATGGGTCATTGCTTCTTACTTCTGAGTAAGAAAAAGAAAAGGGTTTCCTTCTGTCTTTAATCTATAACATCATTACAATCCATAGCTATCCTGAGGCTTGGTGTTCCAAGCTTTTGTAGCTATGACTGATCTACCTTAAAGTAGAAACAGTTGATTCCTTCTACTGCAACTGAATTATAGATGTAGTGTTTGTGAAGTATTTTTTTTATTGCTAATTATTTGAGTTGTCGCATTACCTATATAAGCCAGTCCTGGACCAGATCTTTGCTGCATTAGGAGCTTTGTAAACATTGAATAAAGAGGTTTTTACTGCCCCAGAAAGTTTGATATGTATATAAAAGTCTTAAGGCAGGAGATGCTGATTGACAGGTGTAAATTGCTGTGATTTGTGGGGACACACACAGCACACTAAACCACAGCTGGGAAAAGAGCGCTTAAAATACAATAAAGATTCACCTCTGAACAGTGCAAGAACATAATGACTTGATTAAGGAAGGCATGACTCCTGGAACAGACTTTCACTGACTTAGTTTCATGAAGTTCTTTCCTCCAAAGTAACTTTAGGGTGCAAGTGGCTACTCTGAAGTTATTCTGTTCATCAATCTCCACATTTCATATTTCCCATGTGTGGCACCTGAGAAAACAGAATTTTTATTGAATTGTCAAAAGCAGCAGTTATGCCAACAGTGAAGGATGAAGTCCCTGTGGCTTATTTTCTGTCATTTACTGAATAGCTAACTACAATTCACAAACCCATTTCTCTGCTCTCAGAGCACAGTGCCCCATATTACTAAAATCATTTGGTTTCTCAAATCTGATTATGTTCATACTATTTCTGAAACAAGACATTTCCCTTTCTGTTATCTTGGATAATACAATTTGCAGCATGCATTTAGAAGATCAGAGAACATCAATGACTACAGATGCTCCTGTTTTTATGGCACATATTGGTCATAGTTCTCCACAGCCAAAGATGACTTAGTTATGGGCTTCTGATTATTAAAGCTTATAATAATATAAGGCATGCTATACAATCAATTACAATAAATGTCTTAATTGCCAATATCTACCAATTTCCTGTTATTCTTATCTCAATTATTTCCAACAGAACAAGTTGCCTAAGGGCAATTATGGTTTTTTTTTATGAGCAGATCTGCACAACTTTAAGGCTGCAGGGACAATGCATGAAAAGGGTCAGAGGGAGTCTTGAGGCTCCTCAATCATACTCACTCATTATTGCAACTCACTGTGGGAAGTGTGAAAGGTGCACCTTGGCTGTGCACATCATGGTCCTGAGCCCCTCTGTTTATGTCCTGGTTGATTGGCAGCCTCTGGTGGTCAAGGAGAGAAGATGATGATGGTGGTGACAGTAATGTCTGCCTGCTAAACACCTTTTGGATTGACTCATAAATCATTAAATGGAAAAAACTATTCAATATTCAGTCTTTTTTTTTAGTTTTCTGATCCTTTGATTGTCCTCTGTAGCAATGCAAGCTAGAGCAGTCTTTGAGAGAGGACTGAGATTCCTCTGCAAACCCTCTGTGAAACAGCAAGCACAAAAAATCATAGAGATGACAGTGAAATAATGCTAACACTTGGCAACATCTCATGTATTGCTGCTCTGAAGTAACAAGCTGAAGTCACAGGATCATGCTGTGAAAGATCATCTTGTAAATGCAGGGAGAATATGTAATCCAAACTGAGGCTGACAAACTATGATACTCATTTCATAAAAGAAAGTAAAGAAAAAAATTGGAAAAAAAATTGGTCCAAATCTTGTATGCAGCAGAAATTAAAGCAGAGCCCAGAAGTCCTTATTTCAAGTTCAGAGAATTAACTAAAAAAAACCAAAAAAACCCCCATTAATTTTGTTTTCAGCATGTGCTCAAGAACACCAAGAATATAGATCCAGGGGTCTTCCTGGAACTCACAAATCCACCTCAGTTTGTGACTTTCACATGTTTTCTCTGCTTGTGTACCCCCTCTTTCCCATGTTCATCTGTTGCTGCTGTGATCTTCAGCCATGAACAACTCAAAGTGTTTTCTCCCTCCTGCACATTACCAGCTTCCACTGGTATAGGATGTAGCCATTGAGTTTAGCTCATAAACAATCTTTACAGGGATTTACCTCGAGCCAGCTGAGGTCCAGAAATCATTGAATTTTGACCAGATTCTTATATGCATATCCAAAGTAGATAACATTTGCTCCTCTCCATAAGGAGCAACACTGTAGATTACTCAGTAGATTATTTATAACAAAAAGTGAGCATATGGAAAAAAAAATATTGGACTAGGATTAACACATCATTCACAATGGAGAAAAATATAATAAAAGCACTGAGGATGTCTTTGAAGCTACTCAGCTTTCAATTTGTTGTCAAAAACAGGATACTTAAATCAATTAATTGTTATTATAAGGAAGAGATACTCAAGCTTTCCTGTTCATTATTAGCATACTTCAACTGGCTCTTGTGCTATAGAAAATTAATTAATCAATTAGTGTGATAGATATAATTGTGGGAACTTGCTAAGTTTTTATAAAGTGATAACTGAGGCTTGAAAATACAGTACAAAACATGTTTGGTCAGGTTTGAACAGGTTTGGAAAATATGCCACTAGAATATAGAACAAGCTGACTAGAAAGTTCAAGAGAAATGATGTCTTATTCTTCTAGAAAGATGAAGAAATAACGTTTCTATTGGTAGAAAGTGGGGGGGAAAAATGATTAAATGGAGCAGGAGAAAGTAATGTAGTTTGAAAGTAAGCAATTTCAGTGACAAATGGAAAATTATTGTTTACTTTCAGTTTTCTTATGTATTTTTCAAAATTGAATTGAAAGTCCATTTGTAGGAAGCTTTTTCCTCAATAAGGAGCTACCTAAATGGGTGAAAAAATTAAGTTCAGTGGATTTTTTTTTTACTTTTTTGTGTTTTGGTTTATTTTTAACATTATTTCTTTGCATTAATAAATTTTCTAATATTAATTTAACTAATAAAGTCATATGGCATTTGGTGTTCTGAAAACTGAGGCAGAGAGTGGGCAGGCATTTAGAATTTTTTTTTTCAGAATAAATCATAATAAAAAAAAAAGTTGAAATATTATTTGCCAGGTGAAAAGCTGCAGAAGTCAGCTTATGTATTTGGTTAAAAACTCATTCTACTGACCTGAGGGCCCAGTTTAGGAGCCTAGGTTCTTTGGGACATGCTGGGTGGATTGAGTGGTGCTGAGCAGGCTCTTCCCATTAGTTCTGGAAGATATCTGAACAGGGGGCCTGAGCCTTGAGCTTCAGAGACCAAGGAGCAGCTCTGAGAAGTCCTGATTTTCCCATGTCATCTTTAGATGGGAAGCTTCAGTGATTAAAAATTTGAAAATAACTTTAAAAGCTACAGTATCCACATATAAAAGTGTAATTCTTGCTTCAAGCTGGAATTTTTTTTATAGCTTTGGTTTTCTGGAACTCCTAGGCTCCTTCTGGTCTACACAGGTGGCTAGTTAATCATCTGCTTGTATTAAAGAGCTTTTAAGGCTTTCTTCTTTTCCTTTAGGGGTTTCTATATTCAGACTGATCTGGTGAGTGTAAGTTCTTGCACTTGAGTAACAATAGGAGTTTTTTTATTCATCTATGCAGATCTCTTTCCCCCTTTTCATAATTTCTTGGTCATCAGCATACGTCATTCTTGATTCTGAAGGAACTGATCCTTGACTATCAACAAATTCTCTTGGGCCTTTCTTCCATGAAGGACTCTTTCCCATGGGATTATTCCAAGAAGATCCCTGAAGAAGCTATATTTAGCTCCCCTGCAATCCATGGTTATAATCACACTACCTTTTTTCCTCCTCACCCAATACTGATCTCCCCAACTTCATGGTCTACATGAACTACAGCCAAGGATTCCCCCAATATTCACATCTCCTTCACATAACTGTTTGTTAATATGAAGTCAAGGAGCCAACCATTCCTTGTCAGATCCTTCACTGCTGGTGACAGGAAGTTATCATCAGTGCTTTCTAGGAATGTTCCAAACTGCACCTCTCCAGTGAATGTCAGGGTAGTGAAATTCCCCCACAAGAACCAGGGTCTGTGACTGTGAAGTTGTTTCTAGTAGCCTGTAGAAGTTCTCACCCACTTCCTCCTGCTCCTGTGGTCTGGAGCAAACACCCACACCAGTGTCACCCTTCCCAGCCAGCTCTTTTGTCCTGACCCATAAGCTTTCACCTTGCTCATCACCCACCCCGAGACAGAGCTCAGCACACTCCAAGCGTTGCCTCATGTAAAGGGCAAATCCACCTCTGTGTGTTCATGGTCTGTCCCTCCTCAGCAGAGCGTAGCCCTTTGTGACAACATTCCAGTCTCGGGAGCTGTCCCACCGCGTCTCCGTAGCGGCCGCGGGGTCAAAGCCCTGTGACTGCCCACAGGTCTCCTGCTCCTCCTCTTTGTTCCACATACTGCATGTGTTGGTGTACAGAAACTTCACAGAAGCATTTGACTGCTCCCATTTCCCAGCTGGGTAGCAAAGGGGTGCCCCATGGTCCTGTCTTGTCATCTTTGGTGCTTGTACTGACTGAAGGTGACCCCTCTAAAACCTTCTTTTTGCTGCTTGGGTGATCACTATAATTCTCCCCTTCGCACAATTTATCTCTTTCAGGTCTGGTTACATCTCCAAACCCCTTCAAATCTAGTTTAATGCTCTCTCAATGAGCCCTGCTAAGAATTTTTCCAAGAAGCCAATCTCTTTATATAGCTCTTGCCCTTTTTGTCTTGTAGGCAATTAAAAAAAAAACCAAAAACCAAAAAAAAACCAACGAAAAAGATCTGCCAGCAGCTCTCTCTGAGGCCAAAGAAAAAGGGAAGGATTTCTAGCCAAACAGGTTCAAATTTTGATTAGGTACAAGATGGGGACATATTTTTGACACATGGTTCTACACCAGCCCTCAAGCATTTTGAAGGATTATCAAGAGTCCTTGAAGTATTTCTATGTATGAAAAAGAAGTTTTATCTCACTCAAAATCATGTTATTTAGTCCTGTATTAATACTGACAAAACTATGAAAAAGCAAAAGCATGAATATATTGATTGCTCAAAGCATACAGAAGTAGCAATGAGTATAAGCACTTGCTTAATACCAAATGTTGAATGAGGCTTATTTTTTTTGCTTAAAATTAATTCCTGTCCAAATATTTTGTTTATTTTGGACCTAAAATATTCTGTTATGCTTGAATATAGTGTAAGCCTGATTAGGGAAATACTAATTTCATAATCTCCTGATGCAACCTGTCTTTGTGAGATCCTGCTTCTTTTAAATATGTCACCAGTGTGTTATTTTTTGAGAGCTATTGCCTAGTAATTTCTTCAGTTCTTTTCCTCAGGTATGCTGGATAATGACAATACGTTATATGTTTACAGTGTGGATGTATCAGTGTAGATCTACCTGCTATGAAATGCTATAGGACTCAGTCCGGCATGTTTGTATGTGAAAATCTCCAAGAGGACCCCAGGAAAACCTTTTAACTGCACCCCACATCACTGAACTGCCTGCTTGCCTCAATACCTTCATGGTCTAAAACTGCTGTTACTGCTTGTGAGAGGACTCAGTGGAAAATGTGTTTTACCAACACTTGCTTTACTGTGAGGAAATTTAATCCATGGCACTCTGGTCTTTAGCTTGTAGGGTCCAGGATATGAATGCTTTATCAGAAATTTTCCAAACAGGAAGGGACTTGTCGACCATTATCAAGCTCCTCAGTGATAAAGCAGAAGAATGTGGGAGTATTTCACTCTAAGCCTCGCACCTGGACATTGAGAGCTCATAAACAGATGGGATTTTTTCCCATTTTGTAATTGGCAGTCTTTATTAATCCAGTTTAGACATCCGGAACACCTGGTATGGAAACAGCAGAAGTGCCAGGTGGGTCAGCTTGGATACATCAGGACAATTATATTCCCTGTTGGCAAGTTGGGTTTTTTTTGGTTTTGGCTATTGGCAGTGTTTATTAATGTCTCATTCTGTTCTCTTTAAAAGCAGTAAGAAAAGCTCATAGGTGATCAAGCAATTTTGCACTCCTGGGAAAGCGGTGTGTCCACTGTTAGTATAATTGGACATCCATGGTGCAAAATGAAAGCTGCATACAATATAAGAGCCCTGAAAGTACTTTCATACAAGTTCAGAACCTTTTCAGTCACTTCCTTTTTAACTCAGTGATCTCATTGAGCCTGAGGAGAAAGAACTCAGGTTTTCTTGAGTTAAAATCCACCCAGACCTTGAGTATTCTATTTTTTTAGCAATAAATAACGAATCTTATAATTAAAGGATGCTCACCACCCCTCTAAGAGTACTCAGCTGATGATACTGTAGCTGATAAAATTATGGTGTGGGTATATTGGTGCTAACATAATAAACTTGATTGCTTCTCAACCTCTAATTTTTCATGTGAGTTCCAGCACAAATCTCATTTTTTTAACTACTCTCCTTGCACCAATGTATGCATCACTTAATACTTGGCCACTGTTGTGTTGACAGTTCTTTACAATTAATAAAGTATAAATTATAGCAATTGTTGGATGAGTGCTGTGGCCTAGGATAGCTTGCAATACAATTATTAAATATTAAACACAACCTATGGTCATGCATGGTAACATCCATTGATGGATTAATAGCATCTCTCCTTGGCCCACAAGATGGCCATTCGTAACTTTCACAGTAAATGTCCCCAGATGACACCTTGCAGTCCCACGAGTTCTAGAGATGCTGTGCATGTATTGTTACCATAAAAACAATACAGTTCTACTTTCTGATTTAGCAAACCCTGAGAACTACTTGGGCTGAGCTGCTTAACTTTCAAGTGCTTTCCTATTTAGACTATTGTGCTGCGAGAACAGAACTGGTGCTAACAATCAAGTATAAAGGAGGCTGTCAACACAGAAAAAGCCCTCAGCTCCATGTGAGAACTTTTCCATAGAAATATCTGAAATTATGAACTCTTTGCTCTAAGTTGGCAGCAGAATTTCTACTTTTACATGCATTAAAAAAGTAATCACGTGGAATTTAAATTTATATGAATTCTTATCCCCCAAAATTAATGTTTTGGCCCAGTTTCTATGAGTTTAGGAAGGAGTTACCAGAAGGTAAATAAGTATGTCATTGTCATAACCAGTTGTGATACACAGGCCATAAAAGTGTCCCCAAGTGCACCACAGTATAATCAATAATATTCCCTTCACTTGCAGCATATCAAGTGAAATCCTCACCTTTGTGAGGCTATTGCAGGTTTTGCAGTCAATCACAGTGATTCATCCACCAGACTGCCTGAAACCCAATAATGAAATATGTTTCATTAATAACTGCTGGGTAGAGAACTATATTCAAAGGCCATACACTGTAGCTTTCAAAATTAAGTTATTCAACAACAGGAACAAGTACATTTCTGTTGGAAGAATCTCAGAGATGAAAGTGGCTTCTTTGGATTTCATATGCATTTTAGGAGCCAAAATTTTGTGTTAATTTTCAGTAAGCAGCCTGATTTTCACATTATAACTTGAAACTATTGGGTTCTTTTAAAATGGTGTTGCAAGGCAGTCTGTAGATCGCATCTGGCTTACATCCCGGGAGGCTGAAAGCAGGAAACTTTGGACCCTGTGAAGGATATTTGGAGGATTGATAATCTGTAGACAAAATTCACAGAGAATTCCTGTTTCAGGAAAATGTAGAACATGCCTTTTTCTTCAGTGAAAGAGGATTTCTGGAAGCAGGATGGCATTTGTGTATATTCCCAGGTTCTGCATGTGGAAAGTAAAAGGAGGCTTGTGCAGCTGAGTTGGTGTGAAGTTTTTAAAAGGGGAACTGAAACTCTAGGTGAAATACTACACTTCCCAGTGTTATGCAGGAGAAAACTCAGCCACTAGTAGATGGTAAACTTCCATAGCCCGTGAGTAAGGTTTTGTATTGCTCACATTTCACTGTGGATGGCTTAAAAACAAATATTAGATCCTGAAGTTAAGGCAGTAGTGTTATAAATGTTTCTCATCTTCCTCAGTATTTCACTGGCAAACAATCATCTTTTGAGTCATCATGTGGTTTTTCAAGCTGTCCTGGCTTGATATCAACTTTTAGGGTGTGATGGGAGGACTGAGTGCTTTTCTGCTGCCTTGTGTGGCAAGGTGTGTTCTCCACCTCCATCTCAGCCACACACAGCCTGTGTTGGGAAAGGAGAGAGATGGGAAATCCAACCCAGGAAAGACCACTCTATTCAGATCTTGAAGGTGGCACTAAAAATCTAACAAATATTGTCCAGTTTCAGGGCACCATTGCATCCCTCATTGACATCTGATGAATTCAGGATAAAGGCTTACTTTTCCGAGAGAGGGCAAAGAATACAAACTTTGTGATGTTGTTGTGCACCAACAAGACAAGGCAAAGTAAACACAAAGCAGAGATTGTATCTGGAGTGCAGTTTTAAACCAATTCTGTATTCACGTGTCCACCAGAAAAGCCTGGTGAATATGCTGGCAAATGTGGACAGATTAAAATGTCTGCCTTCAGGAAAAATCCTACTCTCGTTAAGCATGAAGAAGAATAAAAACATAATGAAATTTTTGAAATTTGGATGAGAATAAAATAAAATTATGTTGCTTTTGTAATCCTTGAAATCAAATCCAGAGCCCTCCAAGACAAAACTAAGGAAACATAGGTCAGAGCAGAAGCAATTTGGGAAAAAATGGGATGTTAGTGTTAATAATGTGTGGTATTTCTGATATGTAGGTCACTTTTATCTGATGTAGGATTTTCTACCTTGATATATGCTGTGGTATTTGTGGATTGTTGCTCTTAAGTTACATATATTGATTAAGAAGCTGTGGATCCAACTCCAGATGTTGGATCTGCATTGTTACAGATGGAATGCAAAAGGTACTTCTATTTGTTTAAACTTTTATTCCGTGTTTACAGATGTGTAATTAGGATAGTGTTGGGACTTCCTACTGTACAGGTGCATAAGAAACAAGCTGATATTTAACCAGTTTTTAGTGAATGAATGTACCTTTGACAAGTAACTGAAAGGTTTTAACTGTTCTCTTACCAGGCAAGTTGAATGAAATCAAACTGGAAGAATTCTGTACCAGGCATGGCCGAGGCACAAGGTGAAAAGTATATTTCACTTGTTCTTTAATTTTTTCCTGGAAGTGAAAAGGGCTTTTCTATCCACAGTGATTAATTAGTCTTCTTTCTCATTGGCTTAAAACAAAAAGGAGTAAGATCTTTAGAGGCAAGTGTGTCCATAAATTGTCAGCAGCAATTTGCATTGTTGATGTATTTTGTCTCAC